TGAGACATGGTTCATGGCTCTGTGAGGGCCCAGCCTGGGAACCTGCTGACCTTGGGCTCAAGGCCAGGAAGAGAAGTCTGCAGGGGAAGACATCCCAGGCTGAGAAAAGCCACCTGATACCATCTCCTCCTTCCTGAGCCCCAACAAATTACCCTGGGTTCCTGACCTCAGGCTAGGCTGAGGGCTGCTGAGCACCTGGAATGTCCCTGCATCAGTCCAGCAGCCCCCACTCCCCACCCAGCTGCCCTAGCTCTACCCCACCCACAAGGAAGAGAAAGCATCAATCTGTGAGGCCGAGGAAGTTCCTTCATCCCTCTGGGCCTCACTGGAACTGGCCAAGGGGAGCAGACCCAGGGCAGGTTGAGCTGATGGAGGGACAGTCAAGTTTGGCAGGAACAGGAAAGGAAATATTGTCACAGAGCTGGGAATGGTACAGACCTGGGACTAGCTTGAGCAGCTACAAGACCTCCTCAGGCTGTCTAACCTGAGAGCCGTCTGTCACACACAGCCCAAAGCTACAGAACAAGTGCCCTTCCAGAAAGGGCAAGAGCTTGTAAAATGGCACATGCCTGTGGTCCCAGAGTTAGGAGGATTGTTGAGACCAGCCTGAGATACTTAATGAGATCCTGTCTTAAATAAACAAAGAAAAAAAATATGGAGGGAAAGAGCTAAGCCTACTCTCCACTTCGATAAACTGTCCTTGTCAAACAGCTGCCTCTGGGGCTGAGGACTGTCCATCTCAGACACTGATGGGAGCCTACTTGTGACACCTGCTGTATATGAGGAGCTGTTCCCTCATTTAAGTTCTTGCACCCTGATGTAAGTGCCACTTTCCACATGGGAAGACCAAGGCTCCGGAGTAGAGTCTCCAGTGTTCTCTGTGGGTGGTAGTTGGTCACAGCCTCAGTGCCCGCTCACCCCTGAGCATGTCTCTTCATCCCTGACTGGAAATGTTTTTCCTAAAACATAGGTGAAGATTCAATAACTTTGAAAAGGTTCTATGCTTCTAAAAGGCTTCAACTGGTGACGGGGGAGTGGGGAGCAGTAGCTCAAGGTTAGAGACCAGAATCAAGGAGGTAGAGCCCCAATGATCATGCCCTGTTCCATCTCGCTCCTGCAGCTTATTCCCTGAGGCTTCCTGGGAGCCCCTAGCATGGCCACCCCATCCAGGGCCATTGATGGCACCTGTGAGCTGCAGGCTCTGTAGTCACCTAAAAGACAGCGAGCCCAGTGATCTCCCTGCTTGGAGACTGAGGGCTCCAGAGAACACATGCTCCCCTTTATTCATCCTCTTGGAGTCCTGGGCCTGCCTCTTGAGCTTCCTTTCTGTGGGTTTGTCTCAGGAACTGGTGCTCCTACGTGGTGACCCGTACTGTCTCTTGCCATGTGCAGAATGGCACCTACCTCCAGCGAGTGCTGCAGAGCTGCCCGTGGCCCATGGGCTGCCCTGGGAGCAGGTGAGTGGCACTGTGGTGGGGAAGGAACACTGGCTCTTCAGGTTGGGGCACAGCACGGGCCAAGGCCTGGGTGATTGCGTGGAGGGCCCAGGAAGTCTGGGGGCCTCAGGGTAGGTGAGACAAAGGCGGCATTGTGTAGGGAGGAAACGTCAGGGCCTCTGCATGGAGGGTTCATACTAGAGCTGTGAGCAGCACAATAAGGGGCAGGCTAGTCCAGCCAGCAGTTGAAATCCAGATCGCATGGCCAGGGTGGTTAGTAAAGAGCTAAATCCAAGAATGGAGGTGGAAGATGATGTCACCAGGGCAGTGGGAAAGTTGGTGGAAGACTGTCTGAGCTAGGGCATCTGGCTTTTCTTTCAGCTACAGAACTGTGGTGAGGCCCACATACAAAGTAATGTACAAGACAGTGACTGCCCGCGAATGGAGGTGCTGCCCTGGACATTCAGGGGTGACCTGTGAGGAAGGTAGGAAAGCCTGTTACGCAGGACCTGGGACAGTTTGTGAAGTGTGTCCCCTTCATGGTGACAGCTTGCCTCTTAAGGGCCTGGGAAGTTTTCATGTCTGTGTGTCATGCTCCTTTTACGTCTTTCCATGCCAAGGTTTTTCTTCTAACTCGTGTCAGCCAGCTTCCCATCACTATGAGAAATGCTTCACACAATGCACTTACACAGAAAAAGGGTTTATTCTGGTTCACATTTGGAGCTTCTGGCCCAAGACTGGTTGGTCTTAGGGCTCTGGGCCTGAGGGCAAGGCAACTAACTTATGGCAGGAGTACATCTCATGGCTAATGCGAAAAAGGAGTGGGCGTGGGTTCAGATGCCAGTCCCCCTGTACGTGCACATTCTCAGTGGCCTAGAAGTCGCCTCCTTTTTAAAATAGAGTTTCTTGTAGCCCAGGTTAGCCCTGAACTTTGTTGGTTTTGCTTTTCGAGACAGGGTTTCTTGTGTAGCTTTGGCTGTCCTGGAACTCACTCTGCAGACCAGGCTGGCCTAGAACTCAGAGATCCACCTGCCTCTGCCTCCCGAGTGCTGTGATTAGAGGTGTGCACCACTTTCTGTGTATCCAAGGATAACCTCAAACTTCTGTTCCTCCTGCCTCCCCTCTCAAGTGTAGGGATTATAGGCATGTCTGGGGCTTCATGGATATGGGGCAAACATTCTACTGACAGAGCTACATCCCCAACCCTTCCAAAGGGTTCACCAAAAGTGCTCCCTGAGGACCACAGCAACAACATCTCAGCCTGTGGGGATGTTTAACATCCAAGCTCTACAATGGAGAAACCCATCCAGATGTTCCCACAGGATACCAAAGTCCAGGCCATTGAACCAGCTAGGAAAGGGGGACAGTGCTACCCACCCTACAGCAGAAGATTCTAAGACCACACAAGGTCATGGGTGGCCAGAGCTACATGGCAGGGTTGGAACTCAAACGCTGTCTGCCTGCTTCTGTTGTCTTGGGTCTTTGGGGTATACTCCTTTTTGTACCCCATGTGCAGAATGTGTCCCATCCGGGGGACCCTTCCACACACTGCCCATCTACATGTACAGCTTGGGGTGGCTCAGTACCAGCTCCTGGAGCCCTCCCTGGGCCTTCCTGCCTCTTGTGCTCTGGCCTGCTTCACTGCCTGGCTGAGCCCACAGCAGCAGATGTGAAGGGATCAAGAACTTCATTCCCAGGTGTGACTTTCAGGGATAAAGTGGCCCAGAACCAGCCTGAGACCTGGCCTTAGAGGAGGCCCCTACAGCACAAGGTTATCTCCTGCTGCCAGAAACAAGGACATGAAAGTGGGGCTCTGCATGAGGGGAGTGAGGCGCTGGGTGAAGCCCCCTCCCCCACCAACTCATGGAGAAACTGAGCAGTGAGGTGGAGCTGTGGGCCCAGCGTCCACTTTGGGGTAGGGCTCCGCAATAGAGTACTTGCCTAGTGTATGCAAGGCTCTGGGTTCCATCGCTAGCATGGAGCGGACATAGGAGAACATTTTCCAGTTCTGAGGGAGGGGTCTCGAGTGGAGCTGCAGAGAAATGGAGCGGTGACGCCCTAAATCAGACATCCCTGTTGAGGGAACCATGCAGTCAGTGTGGGAGGCTAGAAGCCTGGACCAGTGCCTTCCCCATGAGTAGAAGAGAGGATGGAAGGGACCCAAGGGTAAAGGAAAGCCAGCTGCTAGGGGCAGCTGCCAAGGAGACCACAGGGGTACTGTGGGCAAGCCCCAAGGTGGGGGAACTTTATCAGACAATGGCTACTGTATCTCTGGAGCCTTGGTGAGCAGGTGAGGATGGAAGATGTGTGGGGGTGGCTGTTGGAGGCTGTGTGCCAGACCACTCCCAATGTCTACCGCTCTCTGTGGGGCCTTAAGTCCCAGCCTGGGCACAGGGCACCCAGGGCTTCCTAGCCAGGCCAGCTTCACCACCCACTAGCTGTGGAACCTTGAGCTCAGAACCCCCCTCCCCGGCATTATGCAAGAGCCCCGGCCTGGAGGACTGCAGTCTAAGCAGTGTGCCTGTTCAGAGTTGGGGGAGGAAAGGGAGACAGGGCATAGTGGCCCACACCTTTAATACCAGCACTTGGGAGGCAGAGGCATTTGGATCTCTGAGTTCTAGGCCAGCCTGGTCTACATAGTGAGACCCTGTCTCAAAACCAAACAAAAGGAGGCTGGAGAGATGGCTCAGAGGTTAAGAGCGCTGGCTGCTCTTCTAGAGGTCCTGACTTCAATTCCCAGCAACCACATGGTGGCTCACAACCATCTATAATGAAATCTGGTGCTCTCTTCTGGTGTGCAGGCATACATGCAGGCAGAACACTGTATACATAATAAATCTTAAAAAAAAAAACATAGTATGTGTGGGTCTTCAGAAGGGCAACAGACTGTCAGGTGCACTTATGGCAGTCTAGGCTCCCCATCTGAACCTCAGGGTCCCCACCAGTGAGACTGTTGTCTGAAAATGGAGTCTGCCTTTCCAGGTGATACTAGGGTGAGGTGGTATGCCAGGCTTCGTAGTGGCCGATGGGACAGGAGGGCTGTTTCCACCTACAGTGGGGACACTGCTGGCCAACCATGGGCTCTGCCCTTCCTCCCACAGCTGGATTTAGGCCATACTCCCCCAGATGCTTCCCCTGTTGTTGGCTGCTCCTGTGTCACCCCATAGCTGGGACATGACCCTGGACCCCAAAGCTACATCACCAGCAGCAGCAGGGACTGGAGCAGCCACAGAGGAATGGGAACATTGCCACCCCAGAATATTTTTTAAAAGTCAACAGTTGTGCCTGACGTCTTTCAATAAGTCATTCTCTCCCCCTCTGCAGCCTGTGCTGGGGGTACTTTGGTGACAGCCGCTACAGGGACCCATTCTTCAATCAGCTGCTTAGCAAGTGGTTGTCCTGGTTTTCTCACATATGGAATGGGGACGTTCATGCTGTGACGGTGAGCGAGGACAGTGTTAGCCTCATTATTCATGATCACTAGTGAGGACAGTGTTAGCCTCATTGCTCATGATCACTAGTGAGGGTCCCAGATTACAGATGGGGATTGTGAGGCTCAGAGTGGGAAGGGACCAGCCTGGGGTCACATAGCATATCAGAGTTAGGGTTGAGTTAGGGTTGAGATTCACCCATCTTTTGGTCCTTCTATGCTTTGGAAGGAGGCAATACGGCTAAAAGTGCCCTAGCTCAGGCTCTGCCTGGCCACCTACATGATGAGAAAGATCCAAGGCCAAAATGTACTACACAGGCAGGGCAGGCAGACAGTTGGCACACTGCCAGGGCCCTGGCTGGAAGGGGACAGAGTATAGCAGTCACCTCTGGGCCAGTGCCGGAACCTGTGCAGAGGTTGGAGCTGCCCCTCCCTGCTCCTTCTTCCAGTAACTCTGCTGCAGAGCTCCCTGAAAACTTACTGTCCACCAGTCCCTTAGTCCAGATGATAAAAAAGGCTCAGAGAGGGTGTGTGTCTTCCACAAAATCGCAGTGTGTAAGTATTGTGACCAGGTTCTCTCCAGTGGCATCCTGTCTCAGCCCCTCCTGCAATGACAATGACAGGGGGAAGGAAAGCCACTACTGTCCTCTACATCATAACAGTGAGGCCCAGGGAAGAGAAAGCTGTGGGCCCATTCAAGCCAGGCCAAGCTGGCTCTCGAGTAGGGGTTGAGTTCTGCAGCAGCACAACTGAAGACATCCCAAGGAGCATGATCAGATGGGGGAGGGTGCCGTGAGGCTGGCTTTAGCACCCCGACATGGGAAGATGGAGAAGCTGGGGCTCACCCTCCTCTGTTCCTGGGTTCCCTAGAGACACGTGACCTCTGCTTCTCTTCGGTTCACTCCCAATATGTATTTCTTTTCTACCTGAAACCCCTCCATCCCCTGTCCTTCATGGAGGGGAGCCAGAGATGGACATTGGCTTAAGAACAGCTCCAAAGCCTCAGAGCAGATGTGAGACAGGTTGTGGCCACACCCTCCCAGGGCCCCTCAGCGTCTCCACTCTCCAGGGCTGGGCACCTCCCACCTATGTCTGTCTGTGCCAGCCAGGTGCCAGCAATGGAGCCAAGCCTCTGCTCTGCTTCATAGGTGCAAAGTCCTGAGGGCTAAATACTGTGCCATCCCACCCATGTCTACCACCCATGGCTCCATTCCTGTCTAGAAAGCTCAGCCAACCCCGCCTCCCTGCTAATCCACCAGGGCCCTGCCCAGCGGCGTTTCCATTAACACCACACTCACCCACCCTTTATCCTGTGCCACCCTGGCCTTCTCCCTGCACCCCGTGGCTTTGGTGGTGGCTAGCTTGTCTGCATATGGCCACCTTGGTGCTCCTAGGGGAGATTGACTAAGCTGGCCCCACTGCCAACATGACTGCTTCAAGCTCTGGTGCCTGGGATGGGCCTGGCATAAAGTGAGCATGTGAAAATTAAATGAAACTTGTCCACCCTGAACATCGAGGAACACAGAAAGCCTTCCCAGAGGCCCCTCATTGCGTGGAAGGTTCTTAGAGCTGAGAGAGTCCCAGCTCTGACCCTAAGCCCTGGCTTAGGCCACCGGCTGGTCACCAGCAAATATTTATATTTGCAAAGTAAATTCACACAGGAGACATGTCCCAGCTAGGAAGGCTGTGGTCATGTGGTCACAAAACTGTGTGGCCCTGGGGGGTCCAGTGTGAACAAATAAGCCTCTCCTCTGGCTCTGCTGTTTAGCAGGAAAAGTCCCCCCCCAATTGTTTCCATCCCAGTTTAGGGGAGGCTTGGAACCCAGATCACCTCGACCTTCTGTGTGGACAGGGCAGAAATCTCCCTGGGCCTTGGTGCTCTTCCATGCTTTGGTATGTGGAAGGACACTTGGTACAGGAAGGGGAACAGTTTTGGGGTACACAGCGCTAGAACCTGCAGATCTCACCAGCCTTGTAGGGGTCAGCACACTAAACTTTGGCACTGGTGGGCGACCTAGTTTGTTTAGGAGGACTTCCTAAAGGAGGTAACATAGGAACCATAGCTGTAGGACTTGGGGCAGGGGATGTATACATACAGACAGTTGGGGACCTCCTAGATGATGGGAAGTACCCCAGACTCAGTGGAACCTGTGGTTCTGGGGGCCAGCCTTCAGGGCCCTTCTATGATACAATAGAGTCTTTGTAGGGGCTGGCAGAGTCTTTCAGGGCAAGAAGAGCCTCAATCGTGAGCCTGCTTTAGGGTCTCTGGGCAATGGGAGACCCTAACTGGGAAGGATGACCAATGGGAGGGATGGAATATCTTAACCATAGCAGGCCACCCCCAACCCGAAGCCCCTTTACTAAGCTGTTTACATTAAAGGGCCCTCTTTCAGTGGGGCGTGTCCTCAGAAGTATTTTTCTGTTTATCAGAGCTTTGCGGGGTTTGCCTGATTCTGTGAACCCAGAATGAAGGCTCAGTGTTTTCTGATTTTGTTGTTTCCTTAAACTTTTCTTTTTTCTCTGCATTGTGACTAGGTCTCTAATTAGGGTTTCTATTGCTGTGAAGAGACACCATGACCATGGCAACTCCTATAAAGGAAAACATTTCATTGGGATGACGGCTTACAGTTTCAGAGGTTCAGTCCATTATCATCATGGTGGGAGCAGGGCAGCCTGCAGGCAGACACGGTGCTGGAGAAGTAGCTGAGAGCCCTACATCTTGTAGGCAACAGGAAGTCGACTAAGACACAGGGTGGTATCCTGAGGATCGGAAACCTCAACCCCCTCCTAGTGGCACACTTCCTCCAGCAAGGCCACACTTCCTAATAGTGCCAATAGTGCTAATAGTATGGGGAGCAATTATAGTCAAACCACCACCCTAGGGATGGGGCCCAGGGCCTTGCCTGTGCTAGGCCAGCAGTCAGCCACTGAACTGACCACACCCCTAGACTTACACTCAAAGCATTTTTTTTTTCTTTTAGATTTACTTACTTTTATGGGTTTTTTTGGCCTTCATGTGAACATACGCACCAGCTCTCCTGGAGCTGCAGTTACGGATGTTTGTGAGCCATCATGTGAGTGCTGAACCAGGGCCTCTTCAAGAATATGTGCTCTTAGCCACAGAGCCATCTCTCCAGCTCCAAAAAAAACTTTAAAAAAAATTGTATAATACGTGTGTGTGTGTGCACAAACATGTGCACATGTGAGTGTCAGTGTCCAAAGAGACCAGAAGATGGCGCCAGATCCCCTGGAGCTGGAGTTGTAGACAGTTGTGAGCCAAACATTGTGGATGCTGAGAACCAAACCAGAGTCCTCTGGAAGAATAGCAACCACTCTCAACCACTGAGCCAGTCTCTCAAGCCCTACCTAAACATTTTTGAGACCAGGTCTCTCTGTGCCGACCAGGCTGGCCTCAAACTCCTGATCCTCTTGCCTCTGCATCACAAGTGCTGGGATTGCAGGCGCGCAGCACTGTGTCCAACTAAACTTCCTTTCCTAATTGAAATTCACAATCAGTTTGAGCTACTCTGTCTGTACTGCTGCTCTGGATATGTGTGTGCATATGCATATGTGTGTATATATATGCATGTATACACGCATATGTGTATACATGTATGTATGTGTATGCTTATATGTATATGCATGTATGTATACATGTATATATGTGTGTGCATATTGCAGGCATTTGTACAAATTGTGTACATGTGTGTGTACAAGTGTGTGGGTATTGTGTGCATGTATGTAGGTACATATATATACATGTGTGTGTGTGTGTCACCTGTGTGGGCAAGCACATATGTGTACATATGGAGGCTGGAGCTTGATATTGGATGTCTTCCTCTCTCTCTCTGCTTTTCTTTTACACAGGGTCTACCACTGACCCTGGAGCTCATCCATTCAGCTAGCCTAGCTGGCCTATTAGCCTTAGGGATCCCCCCTCCTATCTCCACCTTCCAGCATTGGGATTAGGCATGTGCTACCACACACAGCTTTTACACGGGTGCTAAGGATTAAACTCAGGTCCCCATGCTTGCACAGCAAGCACTTTACTAACTGAGCCTCCTCCCCGGGTCCTCTCTTCATTTTTCTAGCTCTTTATGGCTCTTGGTTAAATGTCCCAAACCAAATAATTTGGAAAATGATTTCCAGCTGCAGGTCCACTTGTCAGTAACTAAGGGACATCCCGTGTGCCATTAAAGCACTTGTGTGCTCCTCCTCAGGGCAGCTGTATCCCTCCTTCTGCATTGTTTTGCCTGCTATTGTGTTTGCTGGAAGTTTGTTTTTTGCTAGCCTGAGGTATGAGTGTGTTCACAGACAAAAGTTTTATCAAGGTGCTTGTAGTCCTGCATGGCTCCCAGGAATTTATTGACAAGTACAAGATGGATAAGGTCCTTGTCCTGGTGGGCAGGTGTAGGGAGAAACCCTGATTGGAGGTACCTGTGACCAGGCTCAAGCGGGCGTGGTCAGCGGTACCTCTAATCAGGGTTTCTCCCTACAGGCAGGAGCTGAAGTCAAGGACAGACAAGTGTGGTTATCTGGAGAACTGCTGTAACCAGCACATCTTTGATTAGATGTACATACCACAGAAAGTGCTATGGGGAAAAAGGACAAAGAAGCTAGCTACGGGGCTGCACACCTCTAATCCTGATGCTTTAGAGGCTGAGGCAAAAGTAAAAGTTTGAGGCCAGCCTGGCTACATAGGAGACCCTTCTCTAAAGTCAACAAATGAAGTTAGGCATGGTGACATCTGTAATCACGATATCTGGGAACTAGACATGGTGGCATACACCTGTAATCATGGTATGTGGGAGGTGGAGGCAAGAGGATCATAAATTCAAAGTTATCCTTGACCACACAGTGAGTGCCAGGTCAGTCTGGGCTCTATGAGATATCACCCTCCCCCCCCAAAAAAGGAAAACAATTAGAAGACAGACTGGTGCTGCTTCGGGTCAGTTTTTTTTTTTTTTCAAAGAATAATCAAGTGACATTTTGCACTCTCACATGGTACAAAAAAGATAAAGGTCTTCAAAGGTACTCGTCTCCTGCTGGACGCTGGCCTTTCCTGCCTAGGTGGACCTGGAAACAGTCCCAGCCTGTAGTCAGCCCTGCTTGGGTCCTCTCTGAAGAACAGAGAGGACCATGAGTAAGTTACTGCATCCCTCTGCCTTAGTTTCTCCAGGAGAAAAGCATGGAGGGGTCTGTTCATCCATCCACTTAGCTATTCTTGGGACCAGAGGAGGGTGCCTGTTTCACCATCTGTTAGAACCGTATGGTCCCAGTTTGCATTGGTAAAACCAAAACAAGACATGTGTGGGGGTGCTTGGGATGTGCAGGAATGGCGTGTTCGTGTGTGTGTGTGTGTGTGTGTGTGTGTGTGTGTGTGTTAGCTGCTGTGGCTGCCTCTTTTAGAACTATGCTGAACCATGCAACACACTGGGCACAAGGCCTGCTTCACAATGGAATCTACTCTCTTCAAGCACCCCCATCTTTGCCACTATCCTGGACTACAAAGCCCCACTCCTGTAGCCTGCAGGAGGCTCTTACCCCCTGTACCTGAGCAAGTTGCAGGTCCCTGGAACTCTTAAGAAAGTTGCACAGACTGAGAAAAACTCCCATGTGCACATTGGAACCCGGAGCAGAGCCAGGCAGCCTCCCTACTGGGGGCTGGCCAGAGAGACCCGTCTGGTTTGGATTGCCGGCGCCTCTCACTGCCTGCCTCAACCCACAGCCCATGTCCAAGCAGCCAGGCTGGTGCCTTATTTGGGTCTTGTCTCCCCCCAGGATGACACTTCATGGCCTTAAAAGGCAGGCTCAGGGGGCTGAGGAGGGCAGTTACCACTGTTGGCTGGAGAGCCCCTCCAGCTGTGCCTTCTGCCCTTGGCTTGGCCAGCTGGTCCCTCCAGCTGTGTGGAAAACCAGGCCTATGAAACCAGACCAGCCAGGCTGCAGAACCCTCCTGGGTGTGGAGTGGGTAGATTCCTGGAATGGCAGCCAGCCTCTCCCCGGCTTTCACTTAAGCATATTATGTTGGTCTTTTCTTACTAAGGAGAGCAAGTGCAGCAACCACTCAGTCATTTATTGAGCATCTACTGTGTACCTGAACCCTGTGTGTGTACAGTAGACCCTTTGCACACATCACCCTCTCCTGGCCTTGCCAAACAAGAACAGAGGCCTTACTGTTGCGTTTTACAGATGGGAGAGTAGGGGGGTGGGGGTCGGATCACACAGATCAGTAAGTAGACGAACTGGGAGCTGAGCTTGTCTGCTAGCTCTATACTCTTAGCCCTGTCATTAGCTTGGGTCATTGGGGAAAGCCTTCAGCTTCTGTGTGGCCCCACAGATGACTGGCCCCTTTCAAGCCAGCCCATCAAACAGTCAGCCTTGTTTAGCCCTGCTTCCTTATTGCTGTGTGACCCAGGGAAGTTACCACACCTCCCTGTGCTTCTCTCTGCATTAGGGGAGCAGAGATCCTGGCTGCAGCAGCAGCAGCAGCAGGAAGGACTTTCTCATGGGACAAGGCTAACTCAGATCAGCAGACTCAGCCCACTGTCCCTCCATTGCAGGTTCCCCTGGCTTCCTGGAACCTACATGGTCAGGCAGCACCATGCGACGGATGGCCCTGCCGCGGCCCACGGCATTCTCAGGTGGGTCCTGGGACAGCCTCGTGGGGACCTCTAGGCTGGAGGAAGTCTGGGGTGGACCCAGGGCAGTGTGGTAATTGTCTCTGGAAGTCATCTGGGTCCAGCAGTAGAGGATCAAGGGCAACACTACTTTACTTCATCCCTGGACAGACAGCCTCAAGGCAGAGGACATTCCTAGAGGGGGTCTGAATTGGGTCAGCCACCTTGAGATCTGTGACCCCTGGATTTTTGCTGTTACAGCCCAACTCCCCAGCTTCCTCTCTGTCCTGGGGAGCCTGAGGCTTCAGCTAGATGCTTTCAAACCTCACAGCTGCCCATAGCGCCCAGAAGACCTTGTTGAGTCTGCTCTCATGAGCGGGAAACTGAGGGTCAAGCAGAGCCTGCCCAAGGTGCCATAGCCAGGAGTAGGCAGCACCTCGCCTAGGACCTCTGAGCTGTGTGGGTGACTATGTCACCAACTTAGGTGCCTCCTATGTGGCATTTGTGTAACACAGAGCTATAGTGAAGACCAGACCATCCAGCTTGTACAGGCTTCATTAAAAAAAAAAAAAAAAAAAAATACCAGAGAGGCTGGATTGTGGCTCTGTGACACAGCCAGACAACATTACCTGTGAGGCCAGTAGCATCCCAGCTCTAGTCTGTTGGTCCCCAGAGTTGGTATGCCCAGGCCCTACCCTACCCAGTAGGAAACATCAGGATTTTCTGCCTATGACTTCTGGAGTTGGGCATGCTGAGACCACCAGAACCAGGGCCCCAGAGCCTGCACTAGGAGAGAGATTCCTCTCCCAAGGCTCTGGAATAGAAGGAACCCAAGGGCTGTTACCCACCTAGGCCTGCGGTGACTCTGCAGCCCAGCCCCACACTGCTCCCCCATAGGTTGGGGACATTAGGTACCTGTCTCCTCTAAGGAGACCCAGGACCCCAGCCTCAGTCCCAGCCTTCCCTCCCCACAGGTTGTCTCAACTGCAGCAAAGTGTCTGAGCTGACCGAGAGGCTGAAAGTGCTGGAGGCCAAGGTGGGTGAGCAGCCCCCCTCTTTCCCTGGGCCTTGGAGACCTGCGCTCCCCACTCCTTCCTGCACCCCATGCCTGCCCTCAGGCAGAGCTTTCCACAGGCATGGCCCAGCCACTGCCTGATGTCCACCCAGCTCTGTCCTCTGCTCCTCAGCTGCCTGCCTTCCCTGTGAAGCTGATGCTCAGCCCTACAGCCTGGAACGCCATCCCTCCAGGAGGCCAGTTTCAGGCAGATAAGCCGAGACACATCCCCAAGCACAACGACAGACCCTGCCTGCCTCTCACCTTTGTCCTTTATTCTGCCCCTCCATACCGTCTTCCAGTTTGAAAATGAAAATACCCATTACACATCTCAGGTTATCTCAATTTTTTAAAAGGGGGTGGTTAAAGTTATAAAATGAGACAGTAAACAAGATTCTGAATGTAGACTCAGTAAAACTCAGAAATCCAGAAAACCATTTGCAGAAACTGCCTGTGCCCCAGAGAGAAAACTGGCAGCCTTCAAGACAGGATCTCACCATGTAACCCTGACTGGCCAAGCACTCACTATATAAACCAGGCTGGCCTCCTACTCAGGGACCCACCTATCTTTTTAAATCATGCGTTCATTCAGTAGTTCATTTGCTTATTGTATGTGCCTGGGGTTCTCTCCACCCAGTATGTGGGTCCCAGGAACCAAACTCAAGTCATCAAGCTCAGTGGGAGGACCTCACCAGCCCCCTCTCTTTTTTGAGAGGGTCTCACATAGCCCAGGCTGGCTTCAAGGTGGCTACAGAGCTGAAGATAACCTCCTGCCCCTACCTGCTCTGTGCTAGGATTACAGGTGTGCACCGCCGTGTCTATCTAGTTTATGTGGTGCTAGGATCACCAGCTGCACCACCAGTTCTCTTCCTTTTTTCTTTTTTAAATGGTATTGTCTTAATTAGGGTTTCAATCGCTGTGAAGAGACACCACGACCACAGCAACTCTTATAAAGGAAAGCATTTAACTGAGGTGGCAGCTTACAGTTTCAGAGGTTTAGTCCATTATCGTCGTGGTGGGAGCACAGTAGAGTGCAGACAGAGGTGGTGCTGGAGCAGTAGCCCAGAGTTCTTACACCCTGACTCACAGGCAACAGGAAGTGGTCTAAAACACTGGGCAGAATATTGAGCATATATGAGACCTCAAAGCCCGCCTCCACAGTGACACACTTCCTCCAATAAGACCACGCCTACTCCAACAAGGCCACACTTCCTAATAGTGCCTCTCCCTTTGGGGACCATTTTCTTTCGAACCACCATGGTTCTATTGCTGTGTAGTTCAGGCTGGTCTTAAGCTCTAGCTCCTCCTGCCTCTACCTCCTTAGTAATTGGGATTACAGCCATAAGCTGCCACCTTTTAAAAAATTATATTTATTTGTGTTTGGTGGGCATGTGAGAGGGCCATAGTGTGTGTGTGTGTGTGTGTGTGTGTGTGTGTGTGTGTGTGTGTGTGTAGAGGTCAAAGGACAATTTGGGGATGTTCTTTTCTTCTAATGTGTGGGTTCCGGGAATTGAACTTAGGTTATTAGGATTGGCTGTAGGAACTTTTACCTGCTGAACCATGTCACTGTCCCTAAACTACCACTTTTTTTTTGAGACAGGATTTGTGTGTGGAGTCCTGGCTATCCTGGAACTAGCTCTGTAGACCAGGCTGGCTTCAAACTCACAGAGACCCACCTGCCTCTGCCTCCTGAGTGCTGGGTCAAAGGTGTGAGCCACCACCGCCCAGCAGCTACCACGTTTTACTCATCTTTTTCTCCCAGGGTTTCTAGACATGTGTAGATACACACTGTCTTCTTGCTCTGCCATTCCCTCCTCTGGGAACTTGTCCTGGTCTGACGTGAGGAAGTTTAATAAAGTGTTAACTGTTAGAGGGAAATTTGGAAGGAGGAGTGGTTACATAACTACAAACTATCCTCTGTGAGGACAGACCACTGTCAGCGGTCATCTTTTCTTTTGCTGACTCTTGGTCAGGAGCTTGGCATACTTACAGAATCTTCTTCTTTGTTCTAGGCCCTAAGGTGGGTGTGGGTGTCAGACCCTCCAGTTTCCCCTGCAAAATCTCAGTGTTACAGTACTTGCTTGGCATTCAGGAGGCAGTCTTCAGTATGCCAGTCTTTAGCATGTGTGCGCACACACACAGCTCCTTCCAACTCCTGTCAAACTTTTAACAGAAGCAGATCCCATGATCACAGAGCTCAACTTGGGTGGCAGCAGCAGTGTGGAATGACCGTTCCATAGTGCATATTATGAATTGTGTCACTTAGGATGACATTCTGGGCCCCTGTTAGCCCAAGGTCTCCACTCACAGCTGGATTCTGCTGGCTCCTTTGGCCTCCCAACCCCGAAGGCCAAGGCTGGACTGTGTCCAGTGAGTTCCTGGCACCTGCCCCATCCCTGTCTTCCTCCACAGGTGGCTGTTCTGAGTGTCACAGAGCAGACAGTGTCCTCAATCCCAGCTACCTCTGAGGACTCTGCCCTACTTTGGGGCTCCCCAGCTGCCCAGGGCAGCCCTGGAGATGGAGGCCTGCAGGGTAAGGGGTTCAGCAAGGTACATAACCCCATGTGATAGTTTAGGGGGAAGAAATGCCCATCTGACCCCACAGGGAGGGTCTTGGTCTTCCTAGCTCTCCAGTGGCCATGACTGGAAGCACCTGCAGACTCATGAGCACTAGAGTCTAGGAAGCAAACAGTTCCAATCGAGGGAGGGATTGGATCTGGGATCTACCCTCCCAGGCCCAGCAGGGATGTTGACCCCTGCCTAACTGCTCAATCCAGGTTTTACTAGGAGCTAGTGGGAACGGGAGGGGTACACAGCTACTTCAAAATAGTAGGGGGTGTCTGAGGAACCAGGATGGGGTGGGGGTCAAATGCAACCCCAGAACCTCCAAGTTCACATTCTTTACTCTGCAGACAGAGCTGATCCGTGGGAGCTGCCTGAGCCTACTGGCCCCAAGGGAGATACTGGCAGCCAGGGCCCAGTGAGGATGAGAGGCCCACCAGGTCAGTGCCCATGGGCTGTCTCCTAGGCCCTTTTTTTTTTTTTTTGTATTGTATCGGTGGGTTGTTTTGTTGTGGTTGTTTGGTTGTTGTTAAGGCAGGGTCTCACTATGCAGCTTTGGCTGGCCTGGAGCTTGCTATGTAGAACAGGCTGGACTTGAACTCATAGAGACTCACCTTTCTCACCTTCCCAAGTGGTAGGATTAAAGGTGTGTGCCCCCATGCCTGGCTCTCTCTGGCTTCTGCAGGCATCCCTCCTGCCAGGGCACTCAGAGGATGCTTTCATTAACATAGTCAAGGTGGACAGGCCTGGTCCCCTGACTGGGCCTCTGCTCAGCAGCCCTGCAGTGATGCCTGTTCATGCCTGGTCCACTTGGCTCATGCACTCCCTTTAGCAGACCCTGAGCTGGGTACTGGATGGGACCAGCCCAGTCTTTGCCTTCAAGATGGATGGGGGATAGCTAGGCAGAGGAGAAACATCAGTGGCTGACCCCTCTGACCAGGGTTCTGTGAAGGACACTGGGACGTCTGGGAGCCCCATAGAAGGAAACCCAGAACTGGGATTAGTGGGCACAATGCTGTGTTCTTCCTGTAACAGATGGCCTAGGAGTACAGGCCTGTGCACTTCAGGGCCTTTTGAACCCACTGCCCCAGACTTCCTTGTCCCATGTGCCCACCAATCCCTATTCTTAACTGCAGGTCCCCAGGGACCCCCAGGACGCCCTGGCCAGACCGGAGCTGCAGGCATCCCTGGAGAGATAGGCCCTCCAGGTCCGCCAGGCCCTCCTGGGCCCCCAGGCCCTCCAGCCCCTGTTGGGCCACCCCATGCCCATATCTCCCTGCATGGTAAGTACTCCCTGGAGTCCCAGCGGGTTGAGGTAGAGTAACTGAATCTGAAGTAGCCATAACCCTGGCACCTGTTGCCAGTTGTCATGTGTCATCTGTGTGCTGGGCTTGCCCATTTGTCACCCTGTTGCTCAGCAGCAGCTGCCAATCTCTGTTCACAGAAGGACACTGAGGCTAGAGAGGAAGGTCATGTGTCACGTCTCCACTGGGGAGAAGGGGAGTGGTTTCAGACCCACATGCTCAGAGCCACTGGCATTAGGCCCTCCCCATGCCTCAGAGCTGGCTGCAGTTCAGTCCTTAGAGTGCTGGGAAGCTCTAGGCTTAGCTCAAAATGTAAGCTCTGAGCTCCCAAGGCCACAGCCTTGGGCCTGTTGTTCAGGATGGCTCCAGCCCCTCCCACAACTGAGCAGCAGCCTGGACCCCAGGCATCTCCTGCATGTAGCATGGCCTGACCTACCCACATGCTGTCAGAGTGCCCAGTGGCAATTTCAACCCCATCTGCATCTTCTTTTCTTTTTTTTTTTTTTTTTAAGTTTTTGGAAACAAGGTTTCTCTGTGTAGTCCTGGCTGGCCTAGAGCTCACAGAGATCTGCCTGCCTCTGCCACCCAAGTGCTAGGATTAAGTGGGCCACCACTGCCTGGCTCCATCTTTGGTGAATGACTACATACCATTCCTTATTCATTCTCTCATTTCATTTTGTTGTTGTTGTTTTGTTTTTGTGTCTAGCTTCAGTGTCCTTGTTTCTATCATGCGGATGGCAACAGTGCCAACCTCCTGGGGCCCCATGATCCTCCAAGCATAGAAACCTGAAGTAGGGTAGACAGTTGGTAAAAAGCAGCTTTCACTCTTATTCTCATTCCACAAGTGATAGTACGGGTTCAGCAAAGGAGAGAGCCAGTCTGGATGTCACTAGCAAGACTGTGGCAGGGTTAGAACCCAAGTTCCCTTCCTCTCTGTATCTGGCAGCAGGTGCTGGTGGCCCTGTTTGTGTTGCCAGCTGTCCTATAGGGCAGTCAGAGCCAGTGTGGCAGAGGTGATAGGCGATGACTGACTGCCCCACTCCCCTAGCTCTGCTCACTCGATATCTTTTCTCTGCTAGGAGATCCATTACTGTCTAACACCTTCACTGAGACCGGCAGCCACTGGCCCCAAGGACCCACTGGGCCTCCAGGCCCTCCAGGACCCCCAGGGCCCATGGGTAAGTTGAGTCCAGGCCTGGGTAAGGGTAGAGGTTGGTAGGAAGCAACAGGACTGGCTGTGGCTAGGAGACAGTTGATGGGGGAACTTAGCCTTGTGGTCCATTCTGTTCCTGAAGACATCCGTTTTATTCAGGTCCTCCTGGACTTCCTGGCCCCACGGGTGCCCCTGGGAGTCCTGGACACATGGTAAGTCATTATCCAAGCTCTACCACCCATGCATAACTCCATTCACCCATCTGTTCACCCATCCATTCAGTAAGTACTTTGATATGCAAAGTGCTTTCCATAAATCTTCTTAACTCAATTCACCCTCAAGCAGCATTATTATCCCTAGAGGCAGAGAAAGGGGGGATTCTTCGGGCTGCAGCCAGCACATCAGGTGGGCACGTCTGACTCTAGATCTCTTTAACAGTCTGACCTGCCTGCTGTTTACCGGGCATATGTTGAAGCCTGGGTCAAGCTGGGGCTCCCTCACCATTTCCTCTATCCCCACCTCACGTCTACCCTGTCCTACCTACCCCAACACAAGGCTGAGGCTGTGTCTTATTGTTCAGGGATCGCCAGGCCCTTCTGGACCCAAAGGAACCTCTGGCCACCCAGGAGAAAAGGGCGAGAGAGTGAGTACACTGATGACCACACATGGGGAATTCTGGGGAGTTCCGGGGGTCCTAGATGATGGCTCTCACCAGTAAACATAATTTTGTTCCCTCCTCTTATACAGGGGCTGCCTGGGGAACCTGGCCCCCAAGGGTTTATGGGATTGCCGGTAAGTGATGCAGTGTCTCCTAAACCCACCCCTCCAGGATCTCCTCAGCCCAGGCTCCTGAACCTGAAGTACCCAACCCCTCTGTGTGATTCAGAGCAGCTCCTTCCATCAATTGCTCACCATTGCTGGGACCCATCATCCATCCTTTTCAATCTGTCTGTCTGTGACTCTATAGCCATTTCTTTCTCTACACGCCTCTATCTCTTTGACTATCTCTCCCCCATACTTTTTTTTTTTTTTTTTTTGAGACAGGGTTTCTCTGTATAGCTTTGGAGACTGTCATGGAACTCGCTTTGTAGACCAGGCTAGCCTCACTCACAGAAATCCTCCTGCCTCTGCCTCCTGAGTGCACCGCTGCCCGACTTTATATTTCTGTCTTTCATTCTCCATCTCTGAATGCAGATTTGTCCATTTCTCTCTTTAATGTAGCCAATTTTTTCTTTAAGTGTTTTGACTATTTGTTATCAAGCAGACACATGTCTAGGATTTCAGCGCTGCCTTTGCCTTTGTGGAATTAATACCTATATCTCTAGAATACTCAAATTCTGTTTTGCTGGCTTTAGAGTAACCACACAAATGCTGTAATGCTTGCTGTCTGTGTATGTTTGTGCCAATGTACTTAAAGTGCAACTCTTAAAAATAGCATGTCTTGCATTTGTCAGATAGTCTGCCATTTGGTTCATTGATATTTTCATCATCTGCATTAATTATCAGCAGAGTAGTTGACCATCTGCAATTGGTGTCTGTGTATCTGCTCTTTTTTCTGTTCCTTTTCTTGTCTTCTTTTGCAGCTCGTCATTGCTCTGCTTCTGAGCTGCACCCTCACTTGTCCTCTTCAGGACAGAGTACTTTGGGGTCCGTTTCACCCACTAATAGCTTTTTTATTTTTTTAGCAATTCTATTTTGTTGTTTTTTTTCACAGTTGCTAAGAACAACATTGTTTTTCCTTCATGTTCTACATGAATTAACCTAGTGCTTCATGTATTATACCAATTATAAGTGTATGTCACATCCTTATGTGGGTGTATTAAGTGTGTGCTGTGTTTCCATCCTCTTCTTGTGCTATCACTGCTCGGTATTCTTCTTTATTTGTTCTAAGCCCCAGAACACTTTTTTGAGAGTGCTAAGAATCGACCCCAGGGCATTGGGCAGCTTCATTAGCAAGTGATCTGTCATTAAGCAACATCCTCAGGTCCATATCATCCTCATCCTCATCACTTTAAAGTTAGTTGTCATTGAAAAAAATAAGACAGTGGTAGTGGCATATGCCTTTTTTTTTTTTTTTTTTTTTTTTTTTTTTTTTTTTT